ATTTATTCATTTTAATTAAAGGTATTGTACTTTCTCAGAGGCCAGCCTCCTGTATTTGCAGAGATTATGCTGTGTTTGGCTTCTAATTCATGTTTGTGACTGTCCCTTGACTGTCCCTTGCTAAGCAAATGGTATACATCTCTGTGCCTACTCCCATGCAGAGAAGTCCGACTCCTTGGATGAACTTGATGCAAACAGCATGCCGGTGTTAGCAGGAAGCCAACCTAAACGTTTTGTTGTTTAATACTGTTCAGAAACTGCACCCAGAAATAAAGTAGGATCTATTCCAAATGGTCATGTCTATTCTTAGTAATAGCTATATCTTTTGGCCATCATGGTAGGCTCATGTGGCAGGAGGGCAGTGTTCCGGGGGGAGGTGACAAAGGCATGGATAATGTGAATGGGGGCCACTTTGAAGAACAGAAGTCATGGTTTTCTGGTCTGAAAAAGGAAAATAATAAGATGTAACATTCTTGTAGTTAGGCCAACTGCTTTGCAGCCATAAAAGGGCTAGCAGTATTGTTACCAGGAATAGTATTAATTCTGTCAGTCTGCTCTTTGCAAAGAACATAAATCAAACTCTAGAATTAGACAAGTGACGATGCTTTGCAAAGCAATGAATTGAATCTGGTGAGTAAACAAATAGATATAAATAAGAAAAGTCATGGGCTTTTCCCAGAAAAGCTCAGGAACTGTCCAATCTCATCTGATTGCTCCTAAGAGTCCTGGCAGACCAGCTTCATGTAAGGGAACAGTTTGAAATCTCTTGACTTGATTTATTTTTTCTCCTCCTATCTTTCTAGAGCAGTTGAAAAATTCCTATGCCTTTTTTGTATCAGTCGCCTTAAGGAAAGGGAAGGAAAGCGATATGGGGGAGGAAAGGGGGGCTTTTTCTCCCTCCTCATGGGGAGAGAAAAAAGGAAAGAGAAAGCTGACCTGTACATTTGTACCATGCTGGCATGGAAAGAAGCTATGTTGAAAAGATGGAAAATAGGTGGTAACGGAAAATGGGAAGAGCGCAACTGTGATCCCTGAATCAGTGTATCACCTCTTTCAGATAGACCGGTAACAAAACATGGTGGTATCTGAAGCCAAAGAAAAAATATTTCAAGTATTTGCTTTATTACAGTTGTATTTTAAAGGTTTCTGGAGCAGTCCTTCACATTTTTAATCTACTTTGCCACACCATGTTTTTGTGGCAGCACAGAATGCAAAACTGCATTAACAGTATCTTCTTGTACAGTTGTGCAACCATGTTTTGTTGCGAAAAATGCATATGTGCATCCTCAGCTTTTGCTTATGATACAAAAGTGATTTAACTGTCTTATCTGGCTTCTCTTGAGGTCGTTGTTTGGTCCTTATTTAGGTAGGTTTCTGTCCTTGGTCAAAACTTCATTTCAGTGTGGGCTATAGTATTGGTATTTTTATGAGTTACTCCCATTGTGTAATGGACACAAACAGATCTAGGCCTCGAATATCTCCTATATAAATTTGTTTTGCTATACATTTTAGAATACCTTAAGACTAGCTTCACGGAAGCCACGTATTAACACTGTTTCAAAGTTGAAGTAATAACAAAAAGCTGTACAATAGCAGGCCTTTGAGATACCGTAACACTCTTAAAGTATGAGTATTAAGTGTGATATCCTGGTTAGAAGGATAGATGGAGTATGGGCTCACACTTTCCAACTATTATTTGATTATTTTTTTTTTTAATCTGACTTTTGCTAAATAAGATTGCATGTTGCTGCAAGCTGAATTACTGTGGGTATCATCTCAAGAAGTGATCTCTGTAAAGACAGGCCCCAGAATATTGCCTAGTTTTCATAATTAGCTCTGGTTCTTACCACTGAGTCCTTCAGAGGAGAGTGTACAAGAAATACCCATAGTGCTCAGAAAGTGCATGAACTCCTAACATTTTCTGTTTATACTTTTTAATAGTTAATATAATCCTATTGAGCCGGGTTGGGGGGGGGGGGGGAACCTACACCACACTTTAAAGCTTCATTAACAAAGAACTTTACTCAAGGAGGAGATGTTAATAAGTAATGAAACAAAGGCTCTGTTATAGAGATTAAATGTGCTTGTGTCCAAGTACAAAGTTCATGTTGCAAAGTGCAGCTGTTACTCTGCTCATAACCCTACAGCAGCCTCGCAACCCGAGTTCAGAGTCTGCCTGCTTTCCTGTAACCCAGCTGACCAGGGCAAGGTCTAGCTGAAGTTCAAAGTTCAGCGTCTGAAGGCTTGCTGGCTCTGTCTGCTGTGGTATCTGTCAAGTTTTGGATAAGCCACAGTTATTTTAAGATTATAAGTACAAACAAGAAACACCTCCCATTCTGTTTTCTTATGTGTTGGATTTCATTAAGAAAGGACTGTCTTAGATGGAGTCACTGAATTGTTTAAGTTGTGTGTTGTGTAATAGACTGACCTAAACAACCCACTGAGCGAGCACACTAGTAGAATGATGCATACAGAAAATAAAACTTGTCTTCATGTTCCTTCCTCCTGAGATTGATTTATAGGAGGAAAAAGGAAGTAAAATAAGTAATTTTCCAAATACAAAGAGGCAAAACTGAACCCTTTAAAAAGGAAAAAGCTAATTTGTGTGTTTTCTTTGTGTCACGATAACTGTTTCACACTGTGGGGCTGAAAAGAACCGAGCAATGCATCAGAACATCTTGCTTTCAAATCTGCCTTTTTCTCTTCCTTCAAAGTCTTTTTATGAAGCTGACCCCAGCTTTCTTATTCAGAAGGTCTGGATATGCCTCCCTGCAAAACCCACCTGTGCAGCTTTTTTGATTAGGTGTGGTCACATCAAAGGCTGTTTCACCCCAGTACAGGTTCTGAATGGGAATGGAAACCTCCACACTGATGGCTATACAAATCCGGGCTGAGCAAAGGCTGGTACAAATAGCCTTGGAAGAATTTATATTTCAGGCAGTGCTATAGCTGTATTGCAGATGGAGAAAAGTTTCCTATCTGCCACATCCTTTCCTCAAGGAAGGGAAGGTAAACCATGGATGGTAAACCATGCATTCTTAGTGCACAAACTGCTGTCATCTCACTTCACTGAAAAGCACATGAATACTTTCTCAGACATCAGAGTTTGGTTCTGTTTGTATCATAGCTTGTGCCTCTCTGAGTTCACTAAATCTAATAATCCAAAGCTATGATTAAAAATGGGTTACAAGCAAGGACCAGAGCAGCCAAAAACACTGGTTGCCCTGGACCAGAAGATTAGTATGTTTAGAGATGATGATTTTTTTCCCTTCCTGCAAACATTCAGAAGCCCAGCAAACACCAAGGAGTCTTCCTCTGATAAATAGTTCTAGCTATTTAGTTATTACCTCATGTCCAACCTTCAACTTCTGAGCAAGCTACTCGAAAAGCCAACTGGAGACCAAATGGGCACCCATGGAGCTGCAGCTCAGACCCTGGACCTGGTGCAGTAAGATTTCAGAGAATATGGAACTTAAGCTGCTTAGTGGTGCTGAGAGGTTAGCTCCTTTCCTGAACCCTTTTTCGGCTTTTGATAGTACTGAAAATGAGACTGCATTTTTGCCTTAAAAAAGAGGCAGAAGTCCAAAGTAACATATTATAATAGCTGAGCTCATCCTGGGTGGACATGCAGGAGTAATGACAGGAACTGAACCTCTGCTATTGTGTCCTGCTCTTGGACTGTAGAAACTTGGCAGTATTCAGTTTTCTTTCTAGTAGTCTTTGCTGTCTCCGTGCAACCACTGTGGTGAACAGATTGAGTCACTGAGACGAATAGTAAGTAGTTATGCAGATCTACTGCTTCATCTCTTCTTATGGCTACTCTTTTACCATTGGATATGCTTGTAGTTTGAGGGAAAGTAGGTGGTGGGCCAGAACATAAGCAAAGCAGAGATGATATAGATGGATTGAAATAAGCCAAGCTTCGTGTGAAAAAACTCACAACTGTACGACTATCTGTCTTAGCTGGCAGTACGTACCCACAATTAGTTAACTTGGTCTGCACTGATGCAAATCCCTGTCGTAGTAGCATCTGTGAGTAATAACTTCTGTTGCTCCTACTGCCTAAGTTCCACCCTAGCCTGTTTGTTATGTCTTCAGTATTTCTTTGCTAGACCGATTATACCTGGCCTTTAAGTCTTCATTACTGAAGAAACTCCGACTAGGGTTGCTACTCTCCCCAGTAACATAGGCTACTGCAAACATAAAAGGTGAGGAAAGGACAATAAAGTTAACAGCGGTCGAGCATAGTTAATGTTGCTTACTGCACTATCAAAGTGTGATGATATAGCTCTGCTAGATGGTAACTACGGATTTAAATCTTGCCTTGCTTCATCGAAGAAAGATATCCCTGTCACGCTATTACCTACTGCGGAGTAGATTTCTCTCATTCTTTTCCCTTGGAGTTGGCCACATTTTATGTATAATATATTTCTAGGGGATGGGATAGAGAGAGGAAGAAGAGTCTGTATAGCCCTGTGGTTACTAAGGTTGCGTGGGATAGGGTGGCCAGCTGCGGTTTAGGTATTCAGTCCAAATCAGGCAAGCAGGTTTGCAGGCTAGGAGCTATCTGGTTGTTGACCTTGCTGGAGTAGGTGGGTGAATGTTTATTTCCCTCTTTCTGCACCTGTTTCATTTTCACAACACTGTTCTGTGCCCATGTGAATTGCCTTGAAGGAAAGTCTTGAGCTGAAAAGAAAAATAATAAACCAGAAAAATCATTTCCAACACAGTTCTATTTTTAACCTGTTTTATCTTTTTGTCTGTGTGTACTCTGCTTTTGTTTAAAATTACTCGTTTACTTTCTCAGCAGATAGTTCAGGAACCATGCTACCTGTTCTCTAACTGAACCAAGAACCAGACCCTGGAGCAGGACTGTGCTGGTACTGGTTGGCTGCAGGTCCACTGGAGTCCTAGCGTTGAGAGAGACCCTAATAGGTAAGTAGAAGTCAGAGATACTATCCAAGGGACTACTCTTTTCTTAAGAAAAAGTACTCTTAAGAAAAGAGTAGTGTTGCCATCTGCCCTTCTTTTTTGAGGAACAGTCTCAGGAGAAGGGTATGTGCATGTGGATATGACTTGTAGATTTGTATCTTGAAACAAGTATCTTTCCCCTGAGAATCTGTCTATATGAATTGTTTTCTTAGCTTACGCATTTCCCTGTTTCTGCTTTCTCACCCTTTCAAGGGAAAAGGCCAGCAGAAAAGCTCTCCTTCAAGTTAGCTTCCATCTTCATTCAAAGTCAAATAAATGTCTTAGAGAAGTTACAAAGAAATATCCTTCGGCAGAAATACGGAAAGCAAACAAACAAGATTAGTGCAAAATAGGATTTGCACAACTGCTCTTGGGAAGGAGTTTTTGTTTGTTGCTGGTTTTTTTTCCTTCTTCTTTTTCCCACTTTAGAAACCTTTCCTGTAAGTCTTCTGTGTTTGGTTTTGTCTGTATTCCATGTTGCAGTGGTAGAGCAAGAGGGCTTGTCTGCAAGCTAAAGTTTTACTGCTTTATACTGCTGGTGTGGTTACCAAGGCAAACTCTCTACCACCTCTTGCTATTTCCTCATGCAGATAGCGTTATATCAGTGAGAAAGTGCTTGTACAGATATTTATGGTGCTCTATAAAGTAAAGTGACATCTATTATTTGATGTCATTTATGCTGTAAAACTGCTCCTGCACTAAGATCTTTAGTGATATAATTACTTGGTTTTAAAAAATCGTATTTCAAACCAAAAAAAAAAAAACAAAAAACCTCCAGTGGCTAAACGTTAAGAGCAGAAGAGATCTTTGCTCGCTACTTTAAAAGTTAATAGCAATGAACCATACATTGTATCTTCACCTTGGGGGGTGGGGGCACATTCTTTTCCCCGTTATCCTGTAGTAGTGAATTAAAATGAAATTATAGACATACGTGTGCTTGCTTTGTAAGAACTTTGTCAAACTTCTTCGAAAGAGTTGTTCAAACAGTAGCACTGTTTTTCATTCTATCCAGATTAAATACTTCACTGCTAAGGACCTCAGTCTTTTCTGCTTGAGCCCTCTAACGTAGCCCACTCTGTGAAATAATGATTGAAATGTCTGGTTTTTTAATCTACATAAAATAATCAAATTTGCCTATAATGTGTTAATTAGGGCATAATATTGGCCAAGGTTCAAACTTTTATTATGAAAGACCTGGTTCCTTTTGGTATTTCTGAATGACATGAAATTGCATACAAAACCGGTTCTGTATCATTTCTTTATTAAAAAGATATCTCTATGTAAACTTGTTTGTTGTCAGGATCTGGGTTCTGATTTGCCATAGTTATTGATGGGACAGATTTAAAGATGGAGCTCTGTAGTTTATTGTGGAGATGCTGAGTTTAATTTCAGAGCTCAGATTTTGGTGGAAGCTTTCAGTTTACTAGGAGCTTAACATTTTCAAAAAAAGAAAAAAGCTCAATAAAATGCCATCTAATTTGGGAGTAATTCAAAATATTAAATGATATTTTTATGGAAAGTGGACTGAAATAGATGAATTTCTTAGAATTAAAACAGAGTATCTTTCTAGACACTGTTTCTTTTAGCTTATTGTTCCTTTCTTTAAGTCACTTTTGCACTCTGGGATTGATGCTTTGTTCCTGCTCTTGTTCCCCAAAGTGCTTAGTGCTCAAGTATCAGTATGGCCATGTAGTTTTCATCTGTGGAGAATTTTCTAACTTTTTAGTCAAAATTGAAAATTTATGTGCTAAGTTCAACCCAATGAATTACGTGACAAATCTGCAGCAATGCAGACGCCATCACGGAGACAGAGAGACTGTCTGTCTTGCCAAGTAGCCCAGCAGTCCGAGGACAGAATAAGCTCTTTAATGCATGCACTATGTGACAATGAGATGTGCTGACTTTTTGATATATACGTGTACAAAGTTCCTATTAAAGCTTTTGTTTCAGAATGAGAGTTTGATGTAGCTGGGCATATACTGTGCTTTAATATCTCTCTATTGGAGAAGGGAAGACACTATGGCGTTTCAGTATGTTATCAGCCATGTCGATAGGCAGTATGAAAAAGGAAAAGAATGAGCAAGCGTTAATCCTTAGCTCTTTTAAGTGTGTGTCTGCGTGTGTAGGGTATGTTCCTTAATGTGACTTAAACTATCACTAATTAATTAACTTTTGCTTGTTTACGTGAGTTGAACTTAGACCTTATTGTATTTTCATAGAATATTTATTTTTATTTCAAATTCAACTTATTTTTATGCTGAATGTATACCATCACTGTATTTTTTTTTTATGAGTTCAAAACCAAACTTCTTTCCTTGTAAGCAGATGAATTGTTTACTTTCCAGACAAAATAAGAACAGACCCTTTGGAAATAAATTGTAGCATGATTTGATCTGGCTGAGACACTGGTAGATATACATAATACAAACAATAAGCATTTAAATTTATTACTGTGGCTAATATAGTATTTGCTGGAAAATGTACATAAAAATCTCTAGATGAAAGATTTAAAAATGTTTCTAAATTTGTTTTATTCATATCCTGTTTAGACAGCATATAATGTTTAAATAATAGCAAAATTGTTTTGGCTTGTTTTGTTTGAGTTATTGTTGGCTGAAGAAGTGGAGACATGATACAACAATTTGTTATCCTATCTGTGTTAAGATGTATTTCTTCTTTTTCCAGAAAAAAATCCTCTGAATTAAATAAGAGCAAATTGATTTTTCATGGATTTCGTCTGAGCCGCAACCTTTAGGTCAATAAAACTTTGGTTCCTTTTTCAAAATTTCAGATCAATTATCAGACAGATGCAGTGTAGGTTTGGAATTTTGGCCTCAGTTCTATATTTAATATGTGAATGGATTCTTTTAATCTGGAATATTGCAGTGATGTAGGGCTTGCTTACTTTGACTAATATCAGTAGTCAGTCACTAGTTGTGCATGACTGATACAGCAAGCGAGAGGGAGAGCTTAACCAAATTAAGTTGCCATCTCCCTTGTAATAAAATGATGCTGACCAAAAAAAAAAAAGCTTTAATTCCTACGTTTCACCATGTCTCTGCTGTCGAATTCAGCAGGTGTCTCTGGGTACAGCCAGAGGATCCCATTTATATAAAGTGGATATTAATGTTTTCGCAAAGCTAAGCATAAATCAAACCCTGCAGACACGTATGCGGAAAAAGATATGTGTATTTCATTTCACTTCTTGCCACATAATGAAGGTATTTTTCACATAAAAAGGATCAAACGTATTGCAGTTTGAGGTTCTTTAATTTTCCCCAAATTTTACTTTTCTTTGATTATATACTTCCTTTTCTCCCTACTTTGCCATTAACTTTAGTAGCAAGAATAATGTAACAAAAGTGGTTTTGAAAAACCCATCCCGTATTTCTTAACCATCTGTTCAGTGAATCCTCCTTCAGACTGCAAAGTAATTCTGAAATTTAGGATTTTAGCCAAGCCAACAGGGCAAAACCCCTTCCTTGGAGTGGGGGAGAATAAAAAGTCATGAGACTTTTAATGATCAAGTAGAGATGATAGGACCTTGGCAACTGAAAAACCCTGGTGTAGTAAATCAAAGAAGGCTATCTTAAGTGTAGGAATGTTTTTATGCTAATAAATTAGTGTCATAAGTGATTTGTCAATAAGTGGTAGAATATGCTATGGAGGAAGGCAGACAATATTTTGCTTTTATATAGAAATAAAAATAGGGTGAAGTCACAAAAAATTCTCAACAAGATTTCTGCTAAGAAAAATGTTGGTGCTCTGACCAACTGTGCAATATTTACATATTTAATTTCTGATGCATCTAAGCTACATTGATACCTAAGCTAGATTTAACTATTACAGAGAATAGTTTAATGAGCACTGTTATGGTAAGGAGCTGCACTACTGTAGTGAAGAACACTCTAGTTGAGGGATATGCAGCACTTCTGAAGCAGTGGCTCCAAAACTTGCTTGAGCATAAGCCTATCCTGCATTGTATATGCGGGTAGGGAGAAGCTCATATGTCCCATTCCACCTTTTCTTCTCATATAGATGCTACTTTCAACAAGAACTGTATAAGCCCAGGTAGTATACACGGTATCTGTCCTTCATCATTCCTTTGCACGTGAACCAAACTGCGTATGTGTATATTACTTACACAAACTCATGCTACTGTACTGCACACAATAACTCTTGGCCCACACCTATGCGCAAACCAAAGGTGTATGTCCCACATCCATAATAACCTCATGCCTGCACGCACGCATGCAGTGAGCCCAGATGAGAAGGCAGTGATGTTTAGTGGGATGTGAGGCACCTGTCCCGAGGGGCAAAGCTATAGCGTGCCTAGACTGTGACTAGTCCTTCTCAAGTTGTCTCAGTCAGAAGTTCTTGAATTTTGGAGCCGGGGCAGGAAGGGATTTGAACTTGGGCTTTTGCTGTTGGACGAAGGGATTCAGCACAGTCCCTGTCTCGCTCTGCTGCCCTGCTGGTTGCTCCTGGCAGTGAGGGGCTCCCCAGCCCTCAGCCCCATCTGTGCACATGGGCAGTAACCCTCGTGCTGGTCAATATGCCAGATCTCAAACAAGCTATCCTTCAGGCTGCTATGCTGTAGCCTATACTCCTGCACACCAACCTCTCTGGCTCCTGCCCCAGCTAATCCCTTCTTTCCTTCCTTAGATTTACTTGTTCATCTGTAGTGAGTTCATTTCCATACTTCAGCCATCTGAACCTGGAAAACACTATGCATGCACTGCCCAGGAATGGATAAAGCACCCACTCTTTCTCCCGAACCTGATAACAGTCCAAGAAGCCAGATACTCACTTTCTTTCATACTTTTCTATTCCTGATCCATATTTGTCTCACAAAGAATGAGCTGCTTTCCTTGAGATAAATGTATTCTTAAGGAGTCAAAGCCTGCTGTGTCTCTGAGCATGCAGGACCTTGGTTTCCCCTTGTCCTTACACAAAACGTACAA